TTATTACAATCATGCCATTTCAACTTTAAGCAGGTTGTACCTAAAGAGGTTCCTACAATAATAATATAAAAAACTTGGTTTTAATTCAGAATACCAGATTCTCCATATTAGGGTATTTCTACTGAAATTTGTGTTTTTATGAAACACTGCAGCTGTAGACTAGAGAATGAATGCTGCTCACTGTGACTAGGACTGCAACTTCCTTTCCCCATAGCTCCAAGAAAGAAACACAGAATCAAGTACATATTCTTCTATTTTAGCAATGACTTTGTAAATTGAAGGATTGTAAAGAAGGACAAGGCACAGAATGCAGATTTTGAGTGCCTACAAATATACAAATTAAATTAAGAATAAGGAAAACAATATTTATTAGAGTTCTCAATTCTAAGGAGAGGCTTTCAGAAACTAAGGAAACTGAAGTTATTAAAAGAAGCCAGTCTGAAGAATTAGAAATTTAAATGCAGTAAATGCCCAAAAGTCAAATGTATGATACTTGAACTCAAATCCTATAAAAGAAAAATTGTGTTGAAAGAGCTCCATATCTGAACAGTTCTTTCAGTAAGTGAAGGAAGATCCTACAGGGAATGAAAGACCAAAAGGGTGAGCAAGATCCCTTGCATTTGGAAGGGCTGCATCTCCAAGATCACAGCTTTTGGTTTTCAGATAGGCCACCAAGGAAAATATTAATCCCAAACTCCTGAGTGTCTTGCTTGTTTCTTCTTTTTGCACATTATTTCTGACGTTAGCTTTTATTTTCCTTTGAGTCTTATCATTAAAGATGAAAATTCCTCCCTTTGCCCAAAACAAGATCCCAGCTAAAAAAATAAGAAAAGTTCCCTGTTACATCCTTATTCTTTGTGGGAACCCTCTTGCCACTGTTTGAAATGTTTGCAAAGCTCTTACTTTAGAGGAACAACCTTCACTCACTTAATGTCCAGTTTTATCTGAAAAGAAGAATGAGAGACAGGGACAGCATACTGTGTATCCTTACTATGCAGACTTTTTCCAATCTGAGGAAGCACATCCCTCTTCAAATGTCTGCACACACCTTACTAAAGCATCATTTTTGTCCCCACAATCTCTTCAAAGCTGCTAAAACACTGCATGGTTAGAAATCTGAGATTTCCCGCAAAACACCATAAAAAGAAGGGGCTGGCTTTATCAGCCAGACTAGTTAAGCAGTTTATCCTGTAAATTTGTCAATAAATGATGTATACTTGAATAGATGAATGAGCATAAAAGAGCGTTTGGAAATTCTGTTTCAGTAATGTAATCTGTTCTGAATTTTCACTGTACAATTTTCACTGTTTTTTCCTCTCCCCTTAATTTAGGTTAAAGAGAGTTTTTTCAATGTCTTAATATTGTTTGAATGAGTTCACGGTATCCCCTTATAATAATTCTAATGTTTCTTTTTCCATACATATATTTACAAAGCCTGCAATTTTTTCTGTTTGGTACTGTGAAAACAAGCACATGTTTTAGGGAGTGGTCTAGTTTCTACTTTGGGTCACAGAGTGGAGCAGTTGCAGTCATAGGAGAAAGTTTTGTTAAGTCTGACAGTGCATACAATCTGTAACAAAAAGCAGAAAACAATTGAGGGCACCTTTGTCCTCACTCAGCCTTTATTACTAAAATTTAACTACAATCATATGGGATTTAGAAATAAAATATTGCTTAAGTGTAATACTGTCTTTTCTTTCTTAGCTTGACATGCTTTAATGTAGAATTAAAGGATTAATTGTTGTTTGAAAATACCTCTCAAAATATGCCATCAGTGTTTCTTTCTAAAGTATATAACCTTTAAAATATTTCTTCTACCTCTGGTTCAGCATTTTTGACCATTCATCAGTCAGCTGGAACAGCGTTCTCTGCAAGGAGAAAATGTATTTATGCCTTATCCTAATAGATTTATTTAATAGCAGTGCAGAAGATAATACATCTCATACCGTTTGCTAAAGAAGTGCAGTTTTCTAGGGCACTGGGGAATACACTGTTAGGAAGCCAAGTGGAACCAGATTTTATACTGCTCATCTTTAGTCCATGCTTAAGACATAATTGTTTTCAACTTGTTGCAAAGGTATAACCTCTATTCTTCCAGTTAAAGAAAGAACAACTGGTCAGTGCTGATAATAGATATGACAAAAACATTTTACTATAGTCTTTGTTGCTCTGCTGTGTGTTTAATTAATTCCAAAGCCTGCTAATTCTGTAATGTTTTCCCTCTAATGTTTATTTTACTATGCTGTTCAATATAGCAGCTAACCCATGTAGAGCTGACTTATTTGCTACACATTTTTAATTCTATCTGTTGTTTCCACTGTTATTTAAACCATGTTTAAGGACACGTGGAAACTATTGATTCAACATTTGGTTTTGATGTGTTCAGAGGAATGATGTTCCAGTAAAGTCATTAAAGAAGTTATCACATTAAACTTTCTAAAATGACCTGCTGCTGTTATACTTTGAAAGGAAGTAGGTACTCTGTTGCCTGATTTATCAGTAAATTTAGAACTAAATACCATTTACTTCTAAAATGGTATTTTAGGACACCATTTTAAAAGATGCAGAGAACAAATTATATTCTTTTTAATTATATTATTTTTACAGTGTTAATGCTATCTTTATATGTATATGTATGCTTGATTTGGTGCAACTGTCTCTGTATATTTTTGCTAAAAATATGTGGACTTCTGTGAAAAGTTTAATTCAGTGCGAACTGTTCAGACAAGAACTAAATTAAAAGGAGAACAGGCATAAACCTCTTCTCGTCTGCACTGAAGAAGATGAAGCTTATAGGTAGGACAATATTTCAACTGGAGTATGCTCTCCCTCTGTTCCCAATTGTGCTTGTTGGTCTCCCTCCTTATAACCATTGGTATTTCTTTCTTGTATAAAGGCAGAATCTTTTCCCTCTTTCATATTATTTCTTATACACCATTTTTCTGTTTCAGTTTTAGCTGCCCTTAGTAAGTATATGCTCTTTCTCTACGTAGGTAATGGCACGAGACTGGAGACTTTGTCTGTCAGTGATCACTTGGATGTCGATCACTTAGACCTTTTCTCACCTTTTCTTCCCATCTCCCATACTTTTTTACACCTAAGACAGAAGTAAAGGATTTGAACTGAGTGAAAGGCAAGATGGATAGAGAGGTACAGAATAATATCCATTAATTAATGTCACTGAGAGTAATTGATTTAAACAAAATAATGTCTTTTGATATGCCTTTGTTTTCAGAACATTCTGCAACCTATCCTTCCTTCCATAATGGAATGCAGTGATTTGTTTGTTAGCTTGGGCATAATATCTAGTCTAATAGCTGCTGAAGCCTCTGGAGAGGTTCTCCCTAACTGAATTAGTGCTGGACCGGGCCAAGACAAATCACTGTTTGGTTTCAGCAAGAATTAAGAACAGAAAAAATTGCAACAACATTAATCAATAAATCAAAACTCCCTTTAACTAGTTTTTAACCTATTTGCATGCAGTCTAGAGGCAAAACTAGTTTCCACCAGTTTTCTTTTTGTTAAAAAATACAGCATTGTAAAGCACTAGATCAAAGTCAGTAGCATTCCTGGAGTGTAGGAGTTGTGTAGTTTATGGTGAAAAGCTATTTTAAAAATCTCTTCTGATATTCCTTTGTCTCAAAGTATGATTAGGGAATTAGGAATGTTTTTGCAATGGCAGGTGGGATGGCTATTGAAGGGTTTTGATGGAGCATTGGTAAAACCTGGAGATGTTCTCATGGTGTGGAGGGGATGCTTCATCAGAAAAGATGATTTGTGGTAAGATGCCGTTTATCTTATTGTCTGAAAATAGATGTACCCAGATGACCTTTAAAGTTACCAGTGAAACTATAACAGCAGGAGGAAGGATTCAAATGTCCTAAATGAAGAATTAGGTTTCTAAACTGTACTGAAATCTGTGATGATGCTACTAATCCTGTCAGTCTCTGGCATGGTTAATTTCAAGATAGTCTTGCTATATATCTTAATTTGTACTGTACTATTAGATTATAGTGTCGGCTTATACTTTGATATAGGCAAGGGAAATAGGAAACATTAAGTTATGTGATGGAAAAAGGTGACATTTTGAGATCAAGATCTTTGTTCTATAAAGACTGAATCTTTCTATGCACGGAGTTCCATGAAAGTGAAAGTCAAATGCTATCTGAATAAGTTGGTTAAGAAGCCACTGTTTCATTTCATATCATGGGAAGATGTCCTGCACAAAGGTTGAACATGCATTAAGTTTAGTTCTTTCTTCCTCCTGTTTGTAGCTGTGTGAAACAGGTTTGTGTTTCAGAGCTGGCTGCTAAAGTTAATTCTTTCATTTGCCTGGATGATGCTAAATGCAGTTTAGCACAAGAAAATTTCATAATCTAATTAATGGTGAGCTCAGCCATATTTACAATTTACAAGTTCATTTCCAGTATACTCACCTCAATGTTTTATTGCATTCCTGGTTCATTGAAGTGGTGATGGCCACTTCTTAGCTACAAGAAGCTGACATAGTCTAGTATCTGGCTCATTAGGTCAGCATGCTATAAAGCTGGGGCAGAATGTGACATCACATTTATCTGAAAATATTGCAAAAATGGCCTTAAAACTATATATAGGAATATTTTATCAGTATAGAAACTTTTTACATAATGAAGTATACATCCTAATCAGAGAAGAATAGCTCCTCATTAGTGGAATACCATGATTTTCTTGTGCGACATAAGTTGATCACCTTAAAATAGCTCTGTGCAATTTAACTGTGCATAGAAGACAGTTTTTAAATGCTCTTCTTCTTCTTAGCACATAGAGGCACATAAAAAGAGGGAATACAAAATTTCAAATGTATCACCAAAACTGTAACATCTAATACTGTCAGATGGAGAAAGGCCAACATATCTCGCACACCATAGCATCTATTAATAGACCTGACTCCCTTTTGCAATGTCAACTGTAACATTAATCCTTGTTTTAAATCATAGTAGCTCAAATAGCAGCTGCTACTAGTTGTACAGCTCTCTTTCAGTTTATATCAGAGAGCCCAATGGAGTCTTTTGAAGGACCTCGTCAGGTTAACAGGGCTAACTTACTACGAGTCCCCACTGGAAATGATTGCACTTCAGATGATGAAGATGTTAATATTGACATTAAACTTCGTTTCTCCCCATGTCCCCGAAGAAGGAATTCTTCAGCTTCAGAGGAAGAGGAGGCAGAAACTCCCACCAACATCTCAAGAAAAGTTTCATTTGCTGATGCATTTGGATTTGATCTTGTGTCTGTTAAAGAGTTTGATATCTGGGAATTTCCAAATACAGGACAAGAAAATTACATAGAAGATGAAGTCTTCCCTCAGGATGAATATTTTTTCTCCCAGCATTTTACATTACCTGCTTCTCAAGAAGAACTTTTACAAAAAGTGCGAGAGCAGAAAGTAGTGTTGGAGTCGGTCCTGCTTATGCCTGGGATTACCTGTATGAACGGCATTGTACGAGTCCTGAATGTATCCTTTGAAAAGCAGGTGTATGTTCGAATGACATTGAATAACTGGCTCAGTTACTATGACATCCTCGCAGAGTTCATGCCTAATTCTTGTGGTAGTGAAACAGATCAGTTTTGCTTTAAGATTTCTTTGGTGCCTCCTTTCCAGAAAGATGGAACTAAGGTGGAATTCTGTATCCGCTATGAGACATCAGTTGGTACCTTCTGGGCAAACAATGATGACAAAAATTACACACTGATTTGTCACAAGAAAGAAACTGTGTCCAAGGTGGATAATAAATCCCAGAAAGAGGTTACAGATAGGAGTCTTAAAGGCTGCTTAAAGACAACACAAAGCAGGTGAGGTTATACCTTAATTTTTGGTAATTTAGAATATAGCTGGCTAATTATGACTTTCTATGTGTGCTTACTTGAGTCAAGACTGCCCATGTTATTTTCTTCTATTTTACTTTTTTTTTTGGTAAATGAAAAATTAGACCAAGACTTGTTTTCAGTAAAGTGTTTGTACATATCAGCCAGTTATTTTCTGCAGACAGATTAGTTAAGATCATAATTTTATGCATGGCATTAATTTGAAAAGTAGTGTGAGGCTCTATAAACCCTCTATGTACCAGTTCTGATCTCTGTAGGATATAAAGTGATATAAAGTGAACTGACATCAATGGGCTCTTTGTTCCAGACTAAGGTAGCTGTACAGTTAAAATAATTTGCAGCCACTTCCTTTGTAAGTCAACAAAAATTTAAAAGCAAAACAAAAGCAGGGTTTTCACACACAATTTATTTCATAGTTCTTTCTCTACATGCAATTATTAAATCAGAAATGGCACTGGTGGTTCATGAAGCAGAAGTGGATAACTTAGGGAAGAATCCAGCAATTAAAGTAGCTGGTACAAACTTTTCTGCAAGTGGTTGGGCTATTCTACAAGTTGTGCATTAAGGCTATAATTCCTTTTCCCTGCCACTGGTTCATGCTTCTGTTTCACAAATGGTGAAATGAAGTATGTTTTATAAGGCAGAATTGGTAATGTATTAAAGAAAAAATGTATAGAATTTATCTTCTATATATTGTTCTGATTAAATATAGACAATTAATATGCTAATTATAAAGTGGCAGTTGTTAGCTTATTCTTTAATCACATATAAGGAGAGACACTTAAGAATAGTAACTTCAGTTTTCCTAATGTTTTTAACTATGTTCTTTCTCTTAGCAAAACAATGCTGCATGCAAAAATCTAATTCTCATTTATTTTCCTCCCAAAATCTACTATAAATCCATTGGACTTCTGCAGAATTAATTCTGTATTTTATCTGTAATGTCCTTTGCAATACTTGGATACCAGAACTAATTTAATGTTGGGTTTTTGAATTTATGTTGGGGTTTTAGTTCCTATACTCTCTCCAAATAAGACAGTGCTGTTTGATTTTGCTAGTGCTCTTCCACTGGACTGAAATGGTAGGGAAGGGGGAACAGAACTGTAGTAGGGGTGGGATCTTAAGGAAGAGGGAGACAGCCAGGGCTTCCTCTGTGCCGAACCTTCGTTCCCCAAACCAGATTTGCTGTGCTGGGAACTTCTGCCAGCCCTAATCACACATTAGCCCTGTGAGCAGAGGTGCACAGCATGGTTTAGTCCTTGTAGCAACACCACAGGGTAGGAGCCACCCCAAGGCTAGCCCAAGGTCTGGTTCATAGCCAGTCCACAAAGCTCTCCTGACAAGTGTCCTTGGGGCCAGCTCTGGAGCCCTCATGATGATACTTCCATGAAGGAACAACCCATTATGTCAGAGCAGAGGGAACAATGCTTTTACATGTCCTGTGGTGAATTCATGACATTTTTGTCTGGTTTTGTACATAATTTCTGTGCTTTAAGGAGTGTCACATGACCTGTTCTGGATAAGTAGGATGGCCTGAGATACCCTGCAGAAAGGCTGTGACATCAAACACCACAGGCATGTGCAGGCAGTATGACTCCAGCCTGAGCTGAGGTAGCCCACATGGAGCAGATGATGGACATGGAGAGCTGAATTTCAATTTAGTGAGCCCTGGGCTTCCAGATGGTTTCAGGAATAACCTGAAAATTTAGGTACCATAGACATCTAAGGTCAAATGATTCCTATAGGTTTAATTCCCTAAAGTTTCTCATTATATGAATAGTGCTAGCAAAAGCTGTAGAAACTTTCCTTCTGAGGGATATTCTTTTATATGGATATACTAAATGATTTATGTATAAGTCAGACAGCTGTTTTAAAAAATGGGAAAGGAGATAACGTGTCTTCTTCTCAATATAAAATCATTTTGTCTCTAATCAGACATTATTTGTCTCCCTCTATGTTAGACTGAAGACACATGCATATGTGTGCATGTGTTTATACATACATGTATATGTATGTATGTATACATTTATGTGTATATTTGTTCATACAGACAGACATATACACATGTATGTTTAAAATATTTAAACCAAAGTGGTCAGATTCTTGTTTACATTAGGATCTACTACACATTTCTGTCAAACAATTAACAACTGTGCACTTTCTCTTTAGTGGCAGAAAAATGTACAGAGACCTTACAGTAAATGCAAAAATGAGCTGCAAGTATCTTTGGAATATTGTTTCAGTGGTCACCAAGGCTTCTGAAAGACAGTTCTGGCAGTATGTAATCCAGGACTAATTTTATGCTACAGGGACTTTGAATTCACAGGAGTCACAGCTTTTGCCACTGTAAATGAGGTCAGCATCAGAGTCTTTTGTTTCAAAAGAACTAAGATGCCAACTTCCATTGCTCACTTGTTTTTCAAAGTGTCTTTGTACATGTTGCCCCTTTGAGTGAGGAGGAACACCCTGCAGACATCTGCAAAAGTACCTCATTATTCTCCTTCAGACCCTCATTAAAACTCCTTTGCTTTGATATCCTGAAAAAAGCACAAGAAAAACAAGCCCCCCAAAATTGGCGAAGTGAGCCTGCTGATGTGCTGTTACTCCTTCATCTCATGTTGAGCAGTGCTGCCCATTCACCAGCTCTCCTCCACCAGCCCATCTCTCTCTCTCTCCTCTTGCTTTTAGTTTGGATGATAAACTCTGCAGCATTTATGTGTGCTATGCTGGCTAGTTACAGAACATTCAGCAAAGTGAGGGAGCCCTCGAACATAACCAGCCTGTCCGTGGAGTTGCAGCATTGCAAATAGATAGAAGTAAAAGCAATTTTATCTATGATTATCGCAATAAAGTGACAGGTAGGGAATATTGCTATCCATACCCATGAGCTGGACATCTTAAATTAAATATTTCTTTATAGCAATCTGAATAGACTCATTTAGAACTCAGTTTCAAATTTAGAAACATGTTGGGGTTTTTTGTTGTTGTTTGTTGTTGTTGTTGTTGTTGTTGTTTTGTTTGTTTGTTTGTTTGTTTTAACTCTTGGCTCTGAGATATTTATACTTTCTCCTAAAATGTGCAATTTACCTCTGCAGTTAAAAAATAAGACTGGGAAGGATCATGGTTTTTAAGCAGAGAGTCTGATCCACTTTAGGGCATACTTGTGTGGCTCATTAAATGTCATTAGCAAGGATTAGTTGTGTTAGCTAGGTGAAAGGAATAATATTCACTTTCAGAGGAAGTTACTGGAGAAACACAATAATATGACCATTTCAAGTTACCCTTAAGAACATGATCCAGGACTAAGGTGAGTGAATGAGGCTAATAGGCTGATTTCTGACACCATTATTAAGAAATAAATGATAAAAATGAACTTAACCCTCAAAAGTTGCACCTGAAAAAAAATTATAGTAAAAAGTAAAACTGCATCAAATAATTAATGCTGAAAACTGTCTATATTTGGATATTTGGAACCACATCACTTAAAAATTTGCCTCTTCATTTCATGTTTCATTTACTTTTGCTTCCATGTCTAGGTATGAACAAATAGTCTTCTCTTAAAGTTTCAGAAAGTATTTGGTTCTAGCTGTATTTCCTAAATCTAAAATTATTTTTTCATAAACTTTAACAATTTTTGTGGTTTTCAGAAGTATTCAAAAGCTGCACAGGGACAAAATACAGTTTGGAAAAATAATGTTTAAATGAATTAATTTATGCTTGGGTCTATTTGAAAGTGTTTGCTTAACTTGTACATAGTCATAGATATACTTTGGGAGAAAAACTGACTCCTTAAATTGTAAGACTCACTGGAAGAGGAAAAGCTTCCACCAATAAACAGGCCTAATTTCCATCCTATTTATATAAATATGTACACATAAAAATTGTATTTATTTATATTTACAAGTAAGAAAAATGTAAATTAATTGCATAGCTCCACTCTTTTATCTTTTTTTGACTCTCGTGCTTTTGGGATATGGATAATGATTTTGAATGTGAATTTTTCCCAGTCCTCAGATTTAGACCACATGATTTTATTGTGGACACTAGGCCCCTGCATTGGTCTGATCAGACAGGAGCTGGTTGGCTGCTGCATGAGGCAGACTCCTGCAGATCATGCTGAAAGGTACAGAGATAGAGTTATGGAAGCCGTGTCCCCTGTCACTGGGGATGCTACAGCCCATTTCTGTGCTTGGCCTTGGTTTGCCATCTGTCAAGAGCACAAGTGACAGCACCAGGAAAGTGGCTGATAAGCATGAGAATTATTTTACAGAAGGGTATCGTGTTTGGACTTCCTCTGACAAGGAAGGAGAAGGCTAGTATTTTTGTCACAACTGTTAGAGTTATCCTTCCTTAGATCTCTGAGCCCACAAATATATCACTCTGAACTGATACAGAAGTGTATCACTGTGATCCTGCTGATATTGATCCTATGCCTTTACTTTGTAATCGCTGAACTGTATATTTTTTGACTAATAGTGCATCAATTCCTGTTCCTCCATGATGTCACTTTAAAACACAACACAGAATAGGGTGATGGCTCTTACAAGAGCTGCTCTATGAGCACAATGAGAAAGAAGAGATTAAAATCCATGTCTGTGGGCTGCCAATGCCAACTTTGACAGCATATATACTCAATGGTCTCTAAGAAATTGTCGGTGAGAAAATTTCCTCTGTGCATGAGTACCTTTCCTTCTTCAGCTGCTGATCATCTCCTTTCTGATGGGAGGCAAAGGAAGTAAAAGTTGCTGAAGACGCAACTTGGCAGGACTGCACTGTGCTCACTGTGCTGTCTTCCCAGGCAGATGGCAGACCAGTGCCTAGGTTGTGCTAGAAATGCAGTTTTGCTCCTCCTGACCTTTCCCACAAGCTCATGATGTGATTAAAAAAAAAAAATCAAAGGCTTCTCACAAAGATGTTTGGAAATAATCTCTCACTCACTTTGCTATGAAGAACAACTGTATCATTCC